GGATTGTATTTCAATACTTGAGGAATTCCAACGGATATTTTCTGTTTGAATAGTTGTAGAAATTTATTTTCATAGGATTTTCTGTCGGATTTTAGCTATCCAACGACTGTTTTTCTCACGGATTTTTATACGTCGGAATATCCATTGGAATAATTATTCCAACAGAAATATAATCAATTCCAATGGAAATTTTCCGTTAGAATTAAACCTTTTTTTGTAGTACCTACCTTTTGGTGTTTTCCAAATCGAAACACGATTTCCACCTCTGACACCGAAATGCTGACATGGCCTGGACCTAATTTGTTAAATTAATAAAATAATAAGAACGAATAAAATAAATTCCTTGTTTGTGGTTGCTTGTATAATGGATCTTGCTCGAAATACTATGAAGGGACACCTTATTGAGAAGGTGGTATGTGTTTGCTTTAAGATTGGAAGTTGTCAAGTGGGAGGGAAAGTTTCCAGCGGTGCTTGGCAGGAGAAAGATAATATCTACTTTAATAGGTGTGGTATATACTATATAGTGTTTTTTGCTGCCTCTTTAGTTCTTGTCTAGTGCATTTTAAGCTAATAATTGAAATTAAAATGTTGAAAGTGCACCCCTCCAATGATTTTCAAATCATTACAACCATTCTTCTACGGCGCTGGTGAAAATAATCAAGAAACACATCAATCTAGGCGAGCCGAAGGAGGACGAAGTACAGAGATCGATGGGGTGGCACTTTTGTGGCCATGTCTTGGTGTTGTGCCGTAGGGTCGTCGTCAGGGATGGGTCTCCTTTAGGCCTAGGCTAGGCTGAAGCCCAGGCCTATTATTCTTATTTTTACACCTAACTAGTATTCGACCTGTGCAAAATGCACAGATATAAATAAAGTATTGTGAATTATTTGTATGCATATAATGATTAATTATTTTTCTTTCACTTTTTTGCTGGCCAAATTTACAATTAAAGGAGTTGGAATATTTATTTCTAAAATTGCGTTATCTGACTCGATGTAATGCATATTTTGGTACGCCTTTTTTTTCTTAATTATTTATTACTTATTTAGAAATTTCAAATACGTTTTTTATTTAAAAAATAATAATTCAAATGCAACCACAATAATAATATCTAGTCACATTATACGGTCACACATTATATGGTCAACTTTCAGTAATAAAAAGTTTAAAATGATTTTTGTAATTTTGAAGTGATTAATGTTAATTATTTTATAATTAAATGAAAGATTAAATACATAAAATGTAACGATTTTTGGAGGGAAAATAGTTAAATTGCCACATAGGTAAAATTAAATGAGTTTTATTAAATGCTATTGGCTAGTAATTATATATATATAGATAGTTAAAAAAAAAAAAAAAACGGATTTCTATCTCAGTCCAATAAACTAACCTACTAATCCACCAAAATAATTCACTTATCTATTAAGTCCAAAGATTCTAACAAAAATTATATGCTAATTTACATACATATAGGACTGGTTGTTAAATAATTACAACCCTACTACATGAAAATATTATTTGCATATCTACGAAATTTACTATAGACACGGCACATCTCTTTCTCTTTCCTCTCCCTTTAATTTTTTTCTTCCCCCTAATTCTTCTCTCGTTTCTCTTTCTCTTTCCTCTCTCTTTAATTTTTTTTTTCTTTTTCCCCGATTTCATCCCCCTTTCCTCTCTTTAATTTTTTTCTTCTTCCCCAATTTCTTCCCCGATTTCTTTTTCTTCCGGCTCTCTTTAATATATACTGAATATATAGTTATTATATACAGAGACATACACATACATAAATAAACCAATATATCATTATATACATAACAATATATATACAAAACTGAATATATAGTCATTATATACAGAGAGATACACATACAAAAATAAACAAATATATCATTATATACAAAACACATTATATACAAAATATATACTGAATATATATTCATTATTTACAGAGACATACATATACAAAAATAAACCAACATATCATTATTATATACAAGATATATACAGAATATATACTAAAAAAGTAAAATACATTACACATCAATGAGTTGTTGGGTTTGGCCACAACACCAGATCCAAGCGTCGGGTTGTCACATGTGACTTGGCCGCCCTCGATCGAAATTCGCCAGCCCGCTTGTCTGCCTCTCCGTTGATGGTTGTCTCCTGTGTCGGGTTGTCACACGTGGCTTGCACCTGATGCTCGGAGTTGCAATCGCTCGCTGCTCTCTATTACCGCCCACCAAGTATTACCTTCTTGAGCCCACGGTCGTAGCCATTGTCAAACTTGGAGTTACACGGGGAGGATTTTTGGGAGAGGGACAAATTAGAGAAGCATGAGGAGAAATTAGAAAAAAAAAAGAGAGATTTTAGAGAAGAAAGGGAAACTAATCATCTGGGGAGAAAAAGTGTGGAGAAGAGAAAGATGAGAAGAAATTAATTGTGGTAGGTGTGGTGGATGTCTGGGAAAACGAGAAATAAGGGGGAGAAGAAGAGAATAAGAACGGAGAAAAAGTAATTAATGTATGTGTAACAATCGTATATGTACAAATATTTAGGTTATCTGATCTCCTTTTGCTAATAAAATATTTTGTTCGTAGATATACAATATTTTATGATTAAGTTAGTATGTAGGGTAATTATCTCAAAATTATATATTGTTGACACACCATTCCCACTAGACACTAACCCACAAAACACCACTACACACCAAACTCCAATCAAATAAATTAGCCATGTGGTCATACCTCTCATTTGAATACCAGAACAATGAATTTAGAAGAACAAATAAATAAATTAATAAATAAATGTAAAAATTATTCAACAGGAAAGAAGCCACTTTCATGAAGACGAGTTAATTTCTTCTTTAATAGTAAATTATATTCTTAAACTCCCTATTAGATATTTATTTCATTTGTCTAATTGTATTTATCTATCTTCTCATTTTAGTTGAGCTATTTAGAGTTTAATAGTAATTGCTTGGATTATTTCGTTGCAATTCTTATTTTCTTGATTGTGTATAAAGTAGTAATTGTGTGTGCATGTGTGTTTATTTATTTATTTTTAATCGCATATCCTCTAGTGTGGTTGATGTATATCATAATTGGATCTAATTTTAGTATGTGCATGCATTTTATTTTACTAATAACTATGTCATATGAAAAAATCTATTTATTTGTCTTGTGAAATTTTTGAAAATTCAAAGGAGCACCAAAACCTTCGACCAAGAAAGGAAAACCCCCATTTAGTGAAAGCACATCAAATTCGGTGCAAAATGAGCATAATGAATTTTTTTGTAGAAATTTATCGAGCACAACTTCAGTGAATATTTAAAAAAAATATTGTGTGATTTTTATGAAAAAGAGTTTAAAATTTTATCCCAGTCTACTCTTAATTTCTGGATCCGTCCCTGATCGTCGTTGGTTGGGTACTTGTAAAGTCAATGTTCCATCCATGTATTATTCAACCGCTTCACAACCCTTTTGTAAAGGAGCTGGGAAACATAAAAGGAGTCTAAATTGTGAGAGATAGCTAAGTAGGAGCATAATAAGTGAAGTAAAGTAGGAATTTTCAGGGAAAATTCGATGCTACCCATGTGGGCACTGCCCACATTGCAGAGATGGCTTCCAGGAGCTTCTGACGTCGAAGCTCAATACAGGTAGGAGGTATATATGTTGAATATTTAGATGAAGTTTTTTATAACTGGTTCTAATAATATAATCTAAATTATTACAGAGGTTGTTACTATTGATGGGAGGGAGAGAGGGGGGGCTGGTCGAGAATCCCGTTCCTGCTTTCTGTTCGGGAGCGACTTTTCAACTCAAACAGAGTTATTTTTCCCGTTTTCGAGTAGAAGCCATAGAATGGAGATGGACTTGAGTCAATTCTCGTTGGTTGGTCAGTCCCTACCGACCCGAGGTAGTTGGATGGCTTTGATGCAAGGCGGCGAGGACGACGAGGAGGCACGCATTTTCCTAACTGGTGGAATAAGGTCTATTAACTTGCCCAACATGCACCCGACACTAGACGAGATGTGGGTGACTCATAATCGGGTGAGCTTCATTGGAAGCCCTGGGGAGGGAGGCCATTGCGCTTGCGAAGTGCTACTAGTTTCGGTAACCCATAATCAGGTGACGAGCTCACTGTATGACCCATCATTGCGGAGATGGCTTCCAGGAGCTTCTGACGCTTAAGCATTGCTACTGTCCACATGACTCGTTCTGCCGCCAAATTAGTTGTGTTTCTGCTTGAGAACGTCGAGGAGTCTCTCCTTGATTAGTAGGACGAGCTACAAGTTGGTTGTATTTCTGATTAGTAGGTAGTATGTTAGCGCTTACCCTGCTAACTCTTTGAAAGTAAGTCAACCTCTTTCTGACTTTCCTATTAGAAAAAGTCTATCACAGATTGTTCGGGACTTTTCTACTCTTATATTTTGTTTTGTTGCGTGCAAGGGTTTGATGACTCTTATTTTTGTGCGTTTGTTTGGGATTTGTGTTTTCAGTTACTCTGTGGTATTTGGTTATGTGAAAGAGAGTTTTGTTGCTAACTTCTGAAAATTCGGCAAATACGATGCTACCCATGTGGGCATTGCCCACATAGGATTTTTTACCATTGATATACACATAAACACACACACACACACACATGAGTGTGTGTGAAATCAATGATAAAAAATCTCATGTGGGCAGTGCCCACATGGGTAGCATCACATGGGTAGCATCGACCGAATTTTCATAAATTAGCAGCAAAACTCTCTTTCACATAACCAAATACGACCTGAAAACAAAAACCCCAAACAAACGCACAAAAATAAGAGTCATCAAACCCATCACACAACAAAACAAAAAATAAGAGTAGAAGAGTCCCGAACAGTCTGTGAGAGACATTTTCTAATAGAAAAGTATGAAAGAGATTGACTTACTTTCAAAGAGGAGTTAGCAGAGTTAGCGCTAACATACTACCTACTAATCAAAAATACAACCAACTTGTAGTCCGTCCTACTAATCAAGGAGAGACTCCTTGGCGTCCTCAAGCAGAAACACAACTAATTTGGCGCAATAGCAGAACGAGTCCTGTCCACAGTAGCAATGCTTAAGTGTCAAAAGCTCCTGGAAGCCATCTCTGCAATGATGGGTGATACAGTGAGCTCGTCACCCGATTATGGGTTACCGAAACTAGCTGCACTTCGCAAGCGCAATGGCTTCCCGCCCCAGGGCTACCAATGAAGCTCACCCGATTATGAGTCACCCACATCTCGTCTAGTGTCGGGTGCATGTTGAGCAAGTTAATAGACCTTATTCCATCAGTTAGGAAAATGCGTGCCTTCTCGTCGTCCTCGCCGCCTTGCATCAAAGCCAGCCAACTACCCCAGGTCGGTAGGGACTGACCAACCAACGAGAATTGACTCAAGTCCATCTCCATTCTATGGCTTCTACCCGAAAACGGGAAAAATAGCTCTGTTTGGGTTGAAAAGTCGCTCCCGAACAGGAAGCAGGGACGGGATTCTCGACCAGCCCCCCCTCTCTCCCTCCCATCAATAGTAACAACCTCTGCAATAATTTAGATTAGATTATTAGAACCAGTTATAAAAAAAATTCCATCTAAATATTCAACATATATACCTCCTACCTGTATTGAGTTTCGACGTGGAAGCGCCACTCCGAAAATTTTGCATGGCATCTCCAGCAGAGGTTGAGGCCACATTGTTGGTCATATTCTGGCTCTCAAGTACAAATACCCGACCGTGGGTTTTGTACGGGCCGTTCGCGAGACCAAGATTACTACAAAATATAGAATACTTCTTCTGAACTTAAACACCACATTCAACAAAGCAGCTAGCTGGGATTAAATTGAACTCTCAAAGACTTTAGGCCATACCTATGTAAGACACCGTCCTTGTAAGCCCTCTCTAAAGTAGTCGGAATCACAGAGATTGACCTCTTCTCATCCACGGGAAAGCCCTATTCATTGAAAATTTATCATCAAATGCTCCACATGGCAAAATAGAACAACAACAAATGTAACTCATTTATTATGTTTCAGGTGATGAAAGAACCTTCATGTCAACGGAGAAATGGTATCAGGACTAAACCATCCGCAACAATTCAGTTAATGCATGGTGGTATAAGTCGATTTTGATCATCGATTTTATCAAATCGTTAATAGCTCAACAGTAGGCCTAATGTGTTTAGCTATTCCACTCAAGTAAGGATTGATTTGGGGGCAACAAGTTCAATATCCTAGGACGTGCAGACCTACTGTTACTATCATATTGAATGCACTTCAAAGACAGCTATGTTCTCAAGAGAGTCGCGGAGATAATGTAGTCGTTACATTGAACTCGTTTCAGCTACCTTTTTTATCATTATTTCCAATTGACAAATCCCTGGTAGGAATCAACGATAAGTACTTGGTTGCCCACTAGAATGCAGATGAAAGCTAGTAACTGAAGATCATGAATAAAGAAGACATAGATAACACACTTAGTTTAGTACTGAAAAGAATGGCTGTTAACAATATACCACACAAAGTCAGAACCATACTGATGCAAGTGGCAGACAGAGACAGACAGCACAAGCTCTTGGATATAACATAGTTATGTATCCTCCGTTACATAAATATTAGTGGACTGAACTAATGAAGATGAACAAAGTATAACAGATAATCTGACCTCTTTCTCCTCTCCACTGTCGTTAGCATTGGATTCTCCTCCAGAATCATCACAGTCAGGGAGCCTTCATCGTCTTTCTGAGCAACAAAATCTTCAACCTGCATCGATAACAAAACATTACGGTAAACTGCATATAAAAATACTGGTTATTGTTCTATATTCCTAAATTAGAAATGTCTATATTCTAGGGTCATGTGAATCCACTTTTAACAGTAGTACTCATTTTATAACTGTTCCCATCTGATATTAACTGATAACAGCTATTCAAAAATACTTCCAAAAGCCCAAAAATGCATGATATATATATATATATATATATATATATATATATATATATATATATATATACCTCCTCATCACTCTCATCAGCGTCGATAGCTGCATTCTTGATTATTTCGATATGATAATCCACAGGGTCATCAATATTACTCTGGAGAACAGCCACAACTCCTTCAGTTGTCTGAAGGCCACCCAAATTCAAGTTCATAATCTTCAGACCTTTTTCTCTGCAAATAATAGTACCAGCTTTGATGCTCACTTATAGGTCTTTCAAAAGAGAAATTAAGTAAAATACAGGCAAGAGATATAAACTAACTTGACAAATGTAAAGAGATTGTGGTATTCATTTCTCTGAATATTTCGGAAAAGGTGCTCCTGCTCGGTCTTGAGCCTGATGAGAAGATCAAAGTAATGCATATTCGAACCCCCAGCCGTATGCCTCTGAAACTCCACATAGTCGATCTAAATAAATAAGAAAAAGAAATAACTCGGGTGTTAATAACTAATTCCTGGAGTTCGTAGTTTGTACAGCCAAAAACAGCATTCATAGGCTTCCTTAAAGGTATGTAACAATTGTACCTCCTCATGCAGAATGAGAGTGGGTGGTTTGGGTAAAAAGAAAAAGCTCTTTTCAAGTGGATAAATAACTCCATCTTCAGCTTTAAGAGATGATTTCACGGCGTAACCATCCTGACTGCTACGGAACTTCCCTGGTTTCGTAACTTTAGCACCAGACAAACCACGCAAAATTGTAATAAAGATTTCATGGATCAGTCCCTGATATTTGGAGATCAATCACATCACGGTTAAGTTTTAGCTTCAGTTTCAGCATGACGGCTTCTAAAAATAGGTCTAGCAATTCAAGAGACGTTGAAAAGGCAGTACCTATGTTAATAAGACTACCATTGTGCACATACAAGAATTTCTTCAATCAGATAGACATGACCAAACTAGTAATCCACATTTCGAAAGTTAGCAACTGGGAGCATTATCTACCTTATGCTCTGGCTGGAGCTTGTCCTTGTACCTGGTATTATAAAGCTCATCACTCATTGATAAGGTGGTGTCTATCACAGCATCGGTCTCAAACTGAAATTAAGAAAAAAAAAAATGAAAACATGATTGCTTGAATACTCGAAAAATTGTGCTTTAACTTTGATGATTTTACTCATTATTACCTGCATCACAATATGGGGACACAAAGTTTGACCTTTCCTAATTGGCGGGTCAAGAGTCACAATAGCGAAGGTATGTGGTTGATTAGACTGCAATAACAAAGTTAATTCATCACTAGACATGATGCAATCAAGTTGTCTCCTCAAATGGTTTTAGAGAACAACTGAAGCAATAGATAAAGTACAGTTTCCAAAATATATTTGCACAACACTAGTCAAACAAAATCGAACACTGGACAGTGATAGAGAACCTTAGGTAGCCAAAAGACACGAACGACACTGCTGTACTTAATTTTGAAATCATTAGCTTGTCCTTGAAGACGCAAAAATGAGAGATGAAGTCCAACGCTATATCGTCCCCTAGCAGAAATATCAATGTCAGACAGTCCGTTCGAAATAGAAGAAAATAACATTTGTAACTTAAGAAAACAAGGTCCAAATGTATCCTACCTTGGGGTGAGTATGGCAATTCCATCAAAAGTAACAACGGCCTCCTCACCTCCAGCTCCAACATCTGCCACAGAGACAATCTCCTCTTTGAACACCTACAAACATAGATTTCCACAAAAATAGTTTAGCGACAGCATACATGCAATCCCATATCAAGAATCAATCTGAAAATTACCTGAGCAGAAGGGTGATTTTCATCCCCGACAAATTGAGTGTTCGAATTGGGGATGTGGAACCTTATTTCCATTAATGAATCTTTCTGTAAAACAATCATAAACTCAATAAATTGACTATTTATTATTCATAGTAGACACTATCAGTATATGCAAACGATTGTAACACATCAAATTTCATGACAATAAAGGACTTAGGGAGAGTAAACAAATACCTCATTGGCACCAGTTGTGTCATCTACATGGAATTCCCAAGTTACATCATTTTTCCTTGAAGTTGGGTATGTGCAACATCAGCTAGTGATACCTCAAATGCTTGCTTACCACCCACCAGAAAATTGAGTGTATTCCCTGGGAAACAAAAGTGAGGCATATCAAAATAGAAAAGTAAGAAAAAATTATTGTATAACTGAACCTTAGCAAATCGATCCTCCAGAAACCTTATAAGTCATATGATTCGTATCTTGATAAAGAGGCTGAAGAAGAAAGGGTTTGGGAGGAGAAAAGGAGGGATGAATAGCTGCAGATCATGTAATCACCACGTACATTACCACGGAGCTTTAAAATAAATATTGCCTATATTGCAGGTTAAATATGTCGGTTGGCAATGTGCTTAACAGAACAAACAAATTTCAACATCAATCCACTGAAGAAAACTGAAGAAAATCTAACAGCCAGAATTGTAAGATTCATCAGATAAAAATAGAGAGTTAAACATGAATGAATTGACTAAGTCCAGTTGACATTGTAGGAACATACCATTTAAATCAACCTCTCCCCAGTTTTTTCCACTAACAGAGAGCTGCTTCTCCTCTGGAGTTTTCCCAAAATTAGACTGGAAAAATGTAGACAGACTAGCAACATCCTGCACAACAACCATCCATGAGAACATAAGAGTGCATTAGTTTTACAAATTGAATATACTTCATGAGAGAAATGTGACAGGAATACTCAAGAATGCAGTAATGTCATGATGAATAAGAATCTAAGTGGATGAACAATTGAATATAAGACTTGTCCATATGCTGTCTTTCCAATTTCCACTACGAGAAAGTTTGTTAGATCCAATAAAGTATCCAATATTATCCTCAAAAGTTACAAACCAATCATACATAAGAACAGTGGAAAGAATTATGAATAAACACGATCACCAGAATTTGACAAATATAAGAAACATTGTACTAAAGATTTGTTCACCTGATCCCGAAAACCAGTGAATTTATAGCGAAGGCCATCTTTGTTTCGAACTCCAAGTTGATTAGACCTCGGAACCTTCATCCACGTAAGCCCCATCAAATCAGATTTATCAACTTCAACAGCCTTGCCACCTCCTTGTTTCTTCCATACAATCCCGCCTGAATGGACTTTAAGTTGTCCTGGATTCTACATAATGAAGTACAAAGTTTAAACAGCTTTTCTTAGAAGATACATAAAGAAACCAAATTCAAATCTCACATTGTCAAGAAAATTATTACTCTGATATCAAACTTATCCAAACCTCATTTGCCATAAGCAGTAACATAATCAACAAAGAGACCATCATTCTTACATATTAATCGTATTCCTCATTTATTTTGCATTTCTTTTTTCTTTACATTTAAAAAAGATGCACAAAGTTCAATCACTATAAACGGCATTCTTCGGCATCCAAATTCCTCATAAACTTACAAACACGTCTTCACAACTAATACAGCTTAACAGCGTCAATTTAGTTCACCAAATCGTAGACAAACACTTTGAGCTTCTCATAGTCAGAAAAAACAATAAAAAAAAATGAAATCCTCAATAAATCAACGAAAAAAAAAAACCTAGGAAATCCACAACGACACAAATTAGCAAGGAAAATAGGCAAGAAATTAGTAAGGAACACTACGAGATTCTCAAAGTTGGAAAAACCGGAAGAAAAAAATGAAATCCACACAATGATTGGAACGATATGTAAAACTTTCAATCCCTTCTAAATATGTACTCAAGCTATTCAACTACAGCGCTGTAACTTTCCTAGGGTACATTACTCCCTTTTCTTTACAGCAAAGATCACAAATGCATTTTGTCTTTTTATGACAACCCCACCAAAGTGATGTATGATAATACTTGAACAATCACCTTTCATAGTATTCTTCTTTATCCTACCCCAAATGTATAAAGGAAAATTAAAAGGCAACACTATCTTGGGATGACGATGCCAAGTATATGCTGAAATATGAATATCACAAAACCTCTTATCAGTGTCACATTTAGCACATTTGATGAAAATAAAGTTGTTTGTATACATCTATTTCATCATTTACTGAAGCGTCACATGTAACGAAGTGAAAGCATTTCCCCAGACATGATGAATTCCATAAACAAATAAAGCATATTCCTATTATCCAGACATGATGAAAAAACAACTTTGAAGAATTATCTTCACTCTTGACATTGCTGAAAGCATATTCCTATTATCTAGAGTGAACAAACACATAAATTAGAAATGTATAAGTCCATTTGATATGCAGAAGAAATGGATAAGTGTTGAGCAAATAAAGCACCTTAAGAGCTGCCAGTTCTGCACCTAGTTTGGATATGTCATTCGCAGTCAGAATATCACCCGCCTAGAATAAAATAAAACAACAAAAATTTAGACAAAAGATGGCGATACTATGTAAATGGGTACCCGATGGATTATCTTTCCTATTTAGGAACACATTCACTACAAAATACAATACCAGATGAAATTCGCTTGGCTCTTCATTCATGCAACCACGATCCCTACAAAACAGAACAGGATAGGAATCAGGAAAATATGCCAAGTGGAAAGTCTTACTACACAACCAACTAGTAACTAACATGCATGATAAGAAACACCAAGAAACTTTCGCTAATACCGGGACAATCAAACTCAACAAAGTCATGAGAACAGGAATTGTCGCAGTTCCAATGGCTTCAAGTGACCTTACATTACTGAAATTATGAATCAAACCATACCAGCAAACGAGAAGCTCCCTGTGATGCCTCTCTGAATCCTCAATCAGTGGAACTGTCTTCTCTGAATCCTCAATCAGTACACTGATAAAAAAAAAAAAAAAAAAAAAAAAAAAAAAAAAAAAAAAAAAAAAAAAAAAAAAACACGTAAAATCAGCACATAAAGTTAGACTAAACTCACTTCAGCTACAATTTATCGGCTACTGATATCACAGGGTATTAATAATAAACTTAATCACACTAAAAGTTAGCATGCCAAAATTCTCAATCAGGAGTACCCGAACGCAATAGTTTATCCTGATCTTCATTTTTCAGATCTATCGTCAAGGGAAAGATGCATTCAAAAAAAACATAAAAAATACAATCACACTGTAACCCTGGGAAAAAGGTTAAACACAAAAAAATGAAGCAGGTACAGATAAAATTCGCGTATTCATGAAAAAATTGCGTGATAATTGTACAAATCATCAATTCGTTCACTCTAAATCAGGAATAGTAGTACAGAACATCTTAAATCAAAGAGAGAAAAAAGCAGCGCCGTGAGGAAATGCGGAAAAACATGAAGACATGCTCGGAGCCGAGGACGCTAAAATCAACGGAGAAAAAACACAAATAAATCGTACCTGAGGAATTTTCGCACACGCGAGACCTTGTGTTGGCGTCTAAAATGCACAGATTGAAGAACGATGGAAGCAAGAGGAAGACGAACAAAAAAAAAAGGAAAAAAATTAGGACTTAGATTGTATATGAAATAATTTGTTCATATTTAGTTATTGTTAACTATAGTTAATTTTGAAAAATGTGGTATAGTTTTTTTTTTTTTTTTTTTTT